ACCAAACATACCTTCACACAGGAAGTTAGAGGCATAACCAAGTAGAAAAGAAAAACTACCAGGTAAATAGCTAAAAATAATATTAATGAACAATTATTGAGTGCTTACAATGTGCCAGACAAAATGCTAAGCATTTTACATCTTTTCTCATCCGAGGCTTAAAAAGCCCCAAGGTCACATATTTAGTAAGTAATAGCTAAATAAGAACCCAGGTCTGACTCTCACTCCAAAATCCATAGGCACTGTAAAAGCAAGGTGAAGAAGCTGTCAGCACTGCAGATTTCACCCGCCTGTGCTCAGCACCTCTCCTTGGTTTGCACACATCTGGTGTCACTGTGGGGCATAAAGTCTGGAGGCACTCTTGGCACAGGACAGGGCAAGTCAGTCAGGCCTCTCCATTTATGACACAGTATTCCACCCTTTTAGCGACAGTGACTACTCCCAAATGGTCACACAACTCAAATTGGGGCTACTCAATCCTCCCCTAGGTTATATTCATACTCAACTGAAGGGTAAAAAAAAAAAAAAAGTCTTAAAAAACAGCAATGGAAGTAATATACAGGAATATCTTGTCACTACAAGAAAAATAGGCAAGTCAAAATTTAAAAGACATGGCTGTTATAAAAGATTTTGAAAACAATTCAATATCTAAGACTATTCTTATCCTCTTTTTAAAGTTCTAAATCTACCGTATCACCATCTAGAGATCCAAGCTACTAACTCAAAATCATCATTTACCATTCCTTTTCTTACTACTGAATTAAAAGAACAATTCAAATTCCTCTTCCACCTTAAGAAATTTATCCAAAGAAACTATTCAGTAGATACAAATATGTCTATGCAAACACTATCTACATAGAGAAAAACCATATATACTTGTGATGGCTTTAAGATGCATCAACCTGGCTAGACTGAGCTTCCATCTGCCGCAGTTCCCTTTCTACTCTATTTCTGATTAGGGTGAGCTACAAGGAATATTCTCTAGAAAACTTTAGTAAGACAGAGGGAGGCAACAGCATACCAAACACCTCCCAGTTATTCGAGTGAATTGCTGTGAAGGGATTTTGCTGATATAACTGAAGTTCCTAATCAGCTGACTTTACATTAATGAAAAGGAAGATTATCCTGGATGGACCCTATTTAATCAGTTGGAAACCCTTTGACAGAGGCCCTAAGTCCTCCCTGAGTTCAGACACTGCAAGCAGCACCTGCTACATTTGCTCTCTTCCTCCTGGATCTCCCCATTCTGACTGCCTGCCTCAGTACTTGGTTAGTTAACCCACAGAACAACAAAAGCCAATTCCATGTGTGTGCGTGCGTGTGTGCCTGAGTGTGTGTAGAGATGGAGCTCCCACTTCTTCTGCTTCTCTGGTTGAACTAATACACACCCTAAATAACCACCAGAATAAAACTAGATAAAAACATTATGATTTTATTACAATGAAATACCCTGTAACCACTTAAAAAAGATGATGTATAAGCCCATTCATAGACATAACATGTTATATGACAAAACAGGTTAAAAAACAAGTATGTATAGTTTATATTTATGTCATTTTTTTTTCAGTTTTAGGGGGAAAGAAAGAGCTTTTCTCACCAAAATTTTAATGGTAAAGATGGGATTCTGAAGTCTTAATCTGGGTGTTATGATTTTAGTTGATTCTTACTTTATTCTTTCCTTAGGACTGTTTTCATTTTCTACAATGGCCATATATCATTATTTTTCAAAAAAGGAAAAGGAAAAAAAACCTTTCTCATTAGAGAGGAAATATGAGAGGTAGACCTACAGGTTAAAATGTGCCAAGAGCCTTAAAGGACGAATAGAAGTTTTCCAAGCAAAGTGGACTTTTCAGGCAGACGGCAGCATGGACACTATGAGTAGTTTAGAAAGGAGAGTGTTCAAGGAAAGGAGCGACAAGATGTGAGGCTAGAGAGACAGACTTCAACTAACTTATGGAGCATCTTATGTGCCTCACTCACTTACTGACAACTGGGACATAATGAAGGCGTTAAAACAAGAGGAGCCACATTTGCATTTTAGCAAACTAAAAATAAAAACAACACAAAAAAACCCCCGCTGAGGTTTGCAGTACGGAGACAGAAGGAGACCGGGTTGGAAGCAGGGAAACCAATTCAGAGACTACCACAATAATCTAAGCAAGAAAAGCAGTAGAGATGGAGAGAATAAACCATGGAGTCACTGTAAGAAATAAGGACTGAGGGAAGTTGGTGGCAGGCACACTGGTAGTACCGAGACGAAAGTGGTCCCCTTAAACTGGGGAGTTGAGGGGAGGCTTCCAAAAAAGTGTCTTTATGAATAAGGCTCTCAAGTATATCACAAACAGCCTTAAAGGAAAGACACCTTTAAGTGTTTCCAAAAAAAATATCAAACTGTGTTAACTCAGGCCCACAGAAAGGAAGAATAATAAGCAAAGTGTTACATTAAAAATTAGACCTCTCAACTACAAAAACAAACTCGCAATTATTTATTAAGTTAAAATAGGACTATTTATGTATATACCTCAACTCTCCTGAGGTTGAACTCTTCCAACAAAATCATATTACTGGCAGAAATAAAATATTCTGATTAGTTGTTGGATTTGAGTCACACTTAGAAGTCACTTCAAGTTAAAAGCAGGATTTTGTATAAGTTATTACTTCATCTGCCCTTTTTCACTGCTTGCCAAAATAAAATCTCTTAAATCTTTAAAATTAGACTCGCCTAAATTACAAAAGTAAATTATTCTTACTATAACAATTCAAACAATTCAGAAATGTAGTTTCTCTACTCTCCACCAATGCCCTACCTTAATTACCCTTAAATTACTACTTAAAATTAGTTGAATATTCTTCTATGTGTCTTTTTGCTTACATAAACATATACACGTTTACATAGGGTTTATTTAACAATAATTGATTGATATAATATATATTATTCTATAACTTGTTACTTAAGATAATCCTAACTTTCAAGCCAATATATTTAACAGGTGTACCTCTGCATTTTTAGTATCTATTAATAATGTAAGCATATCACCTGATATATAATTATGACATTTCTGGTTTTTTGCTATTATAAATAATGCTACAATTAATATCATTTTATATTTCTTTTCTTTTTCTGTATATTTCTTTAAATACTGGTCCTTACATTTCTATCAGATAAATTCCCTGAAGAAGAAATTCTGGGTCAAAGGACTGTATTTTTTAAAATATTGCTATAAGTTCCCCCTAAATAGCAATAATTTACAGACTTAACAACAGTTTGAGGGTAACCATTTTCCCCATGCCCTTTGTCAATATTAGAAATTATCATATTCCTTTTTGCCCACAGGATTAGGAGAAAAAACCTACTTTTAATGAAAAGGGCATCTTTTCATACGTTCATTATTCACTTGCATTTCCCCTTTTGTGATTGCCTGTTCAAATCCTTTACCCTTGATTCTGTTGGGTGTCTTTTTATTAATTTATCATACAAAACTTAAAATTTTTCTGCAATCAAATCTGCCAATTTTTTCTCCCATGAATTCTGGATTCTGTGTTTCACTTATGCCTCCTCTGCCAACCAAGATAAAATAATCTCCTGTATTTTCTCCTAATTATTTTATTACACTTTGGTTTTGTTCTTATTTTACATTTAGGTCTTTAATTTATTCTTTCGGTGTTATGACTTAGGAAGTGTCCCAACACCATTTCTTGAATTTTCCATCTTTAAATGCCTCCTCCTAGAGTTAACAGACCAAAATTCCTAGAAATTCTTACACTTCGCTAAATGAAGCGAAATTCCAAACTTACTAAAAGTTTACTTAAAGACACTCATCATTTCTTCTTTAAAAGAAAGCACATGTTGGAACACATGCATACAGTATACCAACAACAGCACACAGTGAAATGGGTGATTTTTTTTTAACATAGCAGCAATCTAAATTAATTATCTAACTCTTTAAACATACATGGTAAAAATAGAAATATTATTTGAAATCTCAAGATTATTTATTGATTCAAGTCACAAATATTTGAGCACTGACAGGTGCTCAGGATACAATGAGGGACAAAACAAGTATTATCCCTTTTTTTGTGAAGCTTGCAACCTAGTGGAGCTTCCCTCTCTCCTAAGAAACAATGTATTTAAGTGAAAAAGGAAGAATTACAATGAAAAACATTTTGGACAATTTTATGATACATTCGGGATTTTCCATTTCCAAAATACTACCTTATTTCAAATGTACCTATTCATCCTAGTGACTGTCTCCCTACTGTACTCAGACTGAAAATACTGCTAGGAAGTTAAGAATATTAACTATTTGAATATTAACTATTATCCATCAACATACACCTACAGTATGTCTACTTTCCTTTCTCAACAAATTTCTTTCACTACAGTAAATAAAAACCTCAATAACAGAAACCGTAAGTCTATTTACATCAGTTATGTTCAGCCCACAAATAAGTGTTTCTAAAAGATGTATGTAGATTTAAAGATATTTCAGTGAATCCTAGAGACCTAGCAAATGTCTGTATTGTGTCGCTTGGAGATGAAACAAGAACTTCGGTAGCCACTCAATGACAAAAGCTCACAAGGGCGACTCCTTGGTGACAAGCGCTTAAACTTCAGGTCCCACCACCGAGGCTGCTCCCACTCTTACAAAGTCTTGGGGCTCCAGGACCCTGTGGCCACACCCCCCATCCCAATCGCAACCCACTGCCTCCTCCACACACCCCTGCCTCTACTGACCTATTGGGGAGCTAGCTGGACAAAGTACCGGCCAGGGGAAGCAGGAGGGACTCCTGCCACTGCGGGGTGACCTTGACCAAGTGTCTCCCCCTCAGTTTTCTCATCCGTGATATGAGGCTGATACCCCGCGCCCGCTTCCATCCCCAGGCCTGGGTTCAGCATCTAATGCCGCAAGGCCCGGGGAAAGCTGCAGTCCTAAACTTCACGCTGCTCCCCGCAACTGTCCCGCGCCGGGACCCCCGACGTCCGCGGCCACGCGCGCTACCTGCGATCTGCGAGACGAAGGCTTCCGCCACTAGAGACATGTCGGCCGGGCGGCCCTGCGCCCGTGGTTCCTGCTCCCCGCGGCCCTCAGCGTCCTCCTGCGCAACCCCGGCGGCTCCCGCGAGCCTAACAGGCCTGGCCTGGGGTGAGACTCGCACTTGCAAAGCCAACCACCACGGCAGTGGCGGCGCCGAGGACCCCAAGGTTACCGCCAGGCCGGGCCAGGAACTTCCGGCGCAGCTGACAGCGGCTCGCGAGTGCTTCCGTCGGCCCCGCCCCCATCCTCCTCCCCCTGGCGCGGGTCCGGCTAGTCGCAGGTTCCGGGGTGCTGCCTGGCAGGTGGAGGGGGGAGTTGGGGGTGCGTAATTCCCTGTTACCCTAGACTCCAACCTAGGGTGTGGGCAGGGGGACCCAGGAGGCTTTTAGTGTCCTTTCTGGAAGCGAGACTCTTGTAAGCACGTAACATTTTTAAGCGCATAGTATAGGTACCGGGTACTTTAAAAAATATTTACAGTATTCTGTTTCATTTCAACCTCTCAACAACCGAATGAGATGATACTGTTGTCTCCATTTTACTGATGAGAAAACAGGCTTAGAGAGTTTAAACTTTCTCAGGGAGTCTGCTCAGGCCCAGATTCAAATCCACGTTAATTTCCTCCGTTCTACTGTACTGCTAGGTTGATTAGCCTGTGGACAGACATTAGTGCTTATACATGCTTGCCAGAGGAAAGGAGACTTGAGCAGCGCCTAAGCTGAGAGATATTTTGCCCTTCAACTCTATTCTCCCCAAATGAAGCTCATCTTGGAGAATAAAGGGCACTCCAGTTTCACACACTTCTAACCTTTTGGGGGTGAGAGGGGCAGGAAGAGAAGACACTAAGTCCCGTAAGTTACTTTTTAGCGCCTTAGCTTAATAACTTCTTAAGTTACACAATTAAAGAAAAACCAGAATATGATTTAGAGGCATAAAATATAAGTGAAACAGACGTCGGAGATCATCTGGTGGGCCAAAGCCCTCTCTCACTGATGAGAAACACGTTCAAAAAGGTGACGTGACTCATTTTAAATCACACAGTAAATCAAAAAGATAGCTTACTAAGTTTTTGCAAAGGAACCTGATGTCCTAAGAATTACTGTCCATGACATAATATTTAGGAAGTATGTCTCCTTTCTGTATGTTTCCATAACTCTCTAAACCTGTTATAGTTTATTGTTCATATTTCTGCCTAGTTCACTAGTGTATTAGTTTCATAATACATTGCCACGAACTAAGTGGCTTAAAACAATAGGAATGTCTTGTCTCACAGTTTTGGAGGCTAGAAGTCCGAAGTCACGATGTCCACAGGGCCACGCTTTCTCTCAAAGCTCCAGGAGAGAGTCCTTCCCTGCCTCTTTGTATCTTCTGGGAATTGCCAGAAATTTTTGGCCTTCCTTGGCTTTAGGCATATCACTCAAATCTCTGTTTCCATCATCACATGGTATTCTCCTGTGTGTCTGTGCCCAAATTTCCCTTTCCTCATAAGGGTACCAGTCATTGAACTAGGGCCCACCCTTATACAATATGACATCATCTTAACTTTATTTGATGTGCAAAGACTCTATTTCCAAATAAGGTCACATTCACAGGTGCCAGAGGTTAGAAACTTGAACATACCATTTTTTTGTCCGGGGCTGGGGGAATTCTACGTACTACACTAGGTAAATTTTTTTAATGTCATATTACTATTTGCATCAACTACTACAACTAGGAAACTGGTTGAATTAAATTTAAATTTACCCCAAAACCTACGTGAACATAAACACAGCAGTGTTTTAAAAAGCAGAGTCTTCTCATTGGCTGAAATTCAGTGTTTACAAGAGGCTGAGACAATAGGTTTTTCTTGTTTGTGCTGAGGGAGGTAACGCTGATAGTAAAGAATAAGCTCTGCCCAGTTTCCTCCTACTCATCCTACAGGTAATAATGACCGAGAGAAATTAAATGTTCCAGGTGTTTCAGTGTCGATTGAAAGAAAAGCTTTCGGTTCCTGTCTGTTCTGTGCACAGTGGAGAATTATGTATAACCTATAAAAGCAAAGATCCATCAGCTCTTCAAGTTCTATCACCAAGCTTCGTTGGTCATCATTAAAAAACTGAAGATAAAATATTTTTGACTACTTGTTGACGCATGCAGGATTTTTTAGATTTCTCCATGTCATAGAGCCTGAACCGAAGTCCTAAGAGAGTATTTAGAATTGGACTAGGGAAACAAAAACCTAACAAGTTCAAAGGACAGAGGTGAGCTCCAAAATGGAAGGGAATGACAGGAACCAAGGACTGGGCATTCAGGCAAGAGCAAGATGCAAAGCAAAGAATGTTCCCTTGAAACGTGAGTGAGCATCTATGGCTGAACAGCGATGAACTGGATTAGCTCAACAGTCCTGGGTTGGGACTGACACCAACCCTGCTCTAGCACGCTTTGGAGAAAGAAACAGGGATCTGCTAGGGACACTGTCCATGCTCAAGCCTTTCTTCGTTGTAGCCAGTGAAACAGAGTCATCAGCGCCATATGGATTCACTTTTTCTCTCTGACCGATGGTTCTTTTGCTTCCCACACAGGCTAATTTAGGCTGGAAAGAATCTATAATGTGGGAGGTCTTTATTACTAAAAATTAAATCCAATAAAATGCAGATGTCCTGATTGTACCCACAAACATGCTGTCTTTGTAATAAATAGCCAACTGGAGAAAATATATTTATGCATCTGTATTAGAACAACTGGCAGCTTTAAAACTGAAGATCTGTTTAAGATTACCACAATTAAGGAAAATACAAGAAAACAAGCCACTGGAATTTTTAAGAATGAGGTTATAAAACAAAAGTGTTAGGGAATCCATATGTTACTAAAAGGATAATCACACAATTATTTAAAATAAAATATTAATGCATAATATTAACAGCCTTATTGTTTACCGTAATAAAATCACTGTTCTTGCAAAACCGTTTTGTCATAAGAATATTTTCATGTCTGTAATCTAGGTTTTATATTACTATATTAAATAGAAAACATACAGCTATTGTGATGAATATATACTTTGGTAAGATTAAAATACTATAAAATACTAACGCATTTTATCTGCATTTTATTTTTCCTCTGACAGAAATGTTAACATTTTAAATGTAAATGTTTTCTTTATTAAAAAATGCCTGCAAGAGAAAATGTTGGGCTGAGATCCTTGCAAAATTACACCATTTATTTAACAATGATATAATAAATTCAGGCCTTTTTATGAAATCAGTTTACCCCCTCCCACCCCACATCAATGGAATTAATTATTGTTAATTCAATCAAAATAGAATGTTAGCATCGTTAAAAACACTAAGGTAACCATGTTATGCCCCAGAGTTTTTCTGTTCATCTGTTAACAGTCTTTCTTTAAAAACAATGAAACTATAGACAACTACATGCATTCTAATGTATGGGGTTTACGAAGTTTTTTTTAAAGGGTACAGAAATGTGGTAGCCATTCGTCCTTCTGTCTCTCAAGTCCTCTTTTCTCCATTTTGTTTAATTCCTAAGAAATCACTATTAATCCAGGGCTAAGTTCTCACCTTTTTCTCACTTTCTGATCCTACCCTCTTGTATTTTAGGCTAGCACACCCTCACATTAACTATAGGTATATTAGACTACACTTTGGGAAATGACTACATTATTGATTGTAGTGGACCTAGGTTCTTGAAATATTAACTGGTTTTCAAAAGAAATTAAAATGCTAAATGTCCAAATTATTCTGCCAAACTCAGCAGAATATGTATGTTGCCTCACTTTCATAGCTTTATGTTGTTATTGGGAGCTGAGACTTTTAACTATATGAACTAAGGGTGCTCTTCTTCACTGGTGGTTGATACCTGTATTACAGGAAATGAATTAGTTAGCACTTTTCTGGTTACAAGTTACAAAAACACAATTAAACCTAGCTTAAGCAAATTTAAGTTTACTCCCTCATTGTAGAATAAAAGACACCAGGGTAATTCACAGAACTGAACAGAGAGCTCTAGGAACCAAGACCCTCCTGCTTCAGCTCCCTGTCTCTCCTTCCACCACTTATCTCCATTCAGCTTCATTCTTTTTAGCTGAAGACACACTTTCTCCCAGGCGGCAGGAAAAATAGCTGCCAACAGCACAACTTGAGGTCTTCTGAGCATGGCAACCTCACCTTCCATGTATTAACCCCAGGGAAGAACTATAATTGTTTGAATGTTCTCACCTCTGAATTAAATACTTTGTCAAGTGACCAGGTTCAATGACTGACTAGGCCAGAGAGGAATAAAACCTTCATAAGAAGAAAAAATTGGAGAAAAGGTGCTAGGCAGCCAAAACCGTAGCACCGCAGTCTACAGTAAGAATCAAGATTGCTGTACTACCCTGGCCAGATAGCTCAGTTGGTTAGAGATCATCCAGATGTGCCAAAGTTGTGGGGTTTGATCCCTGGTCAGGGCACATGTAAGAAACAATCAATGCATAAATAACTGGAACAACAAATCAATGTTTCTCTCTCTCTCCCTTCCCCTTTCTCTCTCTAAAAAATCAATGAATAAAATAAAAAAAAGCAATATACTGTGGTTATTACTTGTTTTAAAAGTAGAAAAGTCATTTAAGTTCTTTAATACTTTTTATTTCTCTTCATAAAGGGAGTAATAAAACAGCCCCTGAATAGAGGACAAGGAGAGAGATTCAGATGATGGTGTTAACTAAAAAGAAGACCTGAAGATGACTTGAACAGAATTATTATATTTATTATTTGTTTATTATATTAATGTAAAAGTATCTATTGAAACTTCACATAAATGTAGTCAGCTAAATTAACCGTAAATACTATGGCAGAAAACTTACATGTTTTCAAAACAAAAGCCCACACATAACTTGTCTCTTGGGGTATATATATTACCATTCCAGAGCTGACTAACAAGTATCTACATTCTCTGAATCTATAAATAATATGTGTGAGTATAACAACATGGAAAACATGACTGATATAATGTTAAATAAAAGCAGAATACAAAGTGTATTCTATTGTGAATACAACTATGTAAAAACATGTATGAAAAGAAACTGATTGGGTTTCTCAAAAGAGTTATATCAAGGAGGAAGGATTTTTTTTCTTTTTGCTGCCTTTTAAACTTTCTGTAATTTTTTATTAGACTTTTTTTTATTTTATTTATTTTTAGAGAGAGAGGAGGAGAGGGAGAGAAATAGCA